ACCTGGCGAGATGAGTTGGAGTTGACTGTTGCCCCTAATGAAAGTTACTGAAAGCAATTTTACCGCATCTGCTAAAGTTTTTCATGATAGCCAATGCGTGAGAGATATTCTCGACTATTTAGCCATTGATTGCATGCCCGTTTCAGTCTACCGCCTAGGTCGTTTTGATAAGAAACATCCCAGACTTTTGAAGGTAGTGTTTCCTGCTTAATTTTTTTTAGGCAGGTTCTGCGTCGAGCGCCTCGACTAAAGCATTTTAGAGTCTCAGGACTCTTTATACGACCTTCCCTTCCCAAATCGGAAAGGGACAGGCTACGCAATGAGCGAGTCGCCCGTCGCAGCAACCCTAATGCTGCTACCACTCATTCGCATCCTCAGTATTCTGATAGTGCTCAGTCATGCAATCTCACCGGTGATGTTGATGTGACCTCGTTGCCGGCAAATGCAAATTCTACTCCCCCTGAGGAGATGTTAAACTAGGAAGTCTTCCTCGGTCTCTGGGTAGCAGGTACTCCGTTTTGTATTCAAATATAAGATCCTGATCAAAAATAGGTATGCTTTTCTTGCTTTGCTCAATTTTTATTCATTTGACATTGTCGCTCTCACTGAGACCTGGCTCAGCTCTAAAGATGACACATTAGCTCTCTTAGGTGGATGCTCCTCGCATTACGAAGTATTACGATGTGACCGAAAAAGGACTAGAGGCGGCGGTGTGGCCCTCCTTGTTTGTAAGCAGCTTTATCCAAACCTATTTTTGAAGAGTTGGTACCGAAAGTTATGAGCTGCTAGCTTGCGATTTGTCCGCCGGGACAACACTTTTCGCATCCTTGTTGTCTATAGGGCCCCAAGTTGCTCCAATCAGTCGTCAAGGCAGCTATTTAAGGCCATTAGTGATATAATCTCATCGAACCGTGTTTGCCTCGTTTGTGGTGATTTCAATTTTCCCGATATTATTTGGTCCCAGGTTCCTAGTGCATCCAACATGGTATCGAAATCTTTCCTAGAATTGTGTTCCTCCCATACATTGGTTCAGTTTGTTAATAAGAGTACAAGAGGCAGTCACACTTTGGACCTCGTTTTGTGTAGTGAAGAATCATTAGTGAACAACATGAGAGTTAGTCCTCCTGTTGGCTCAAGTGATCATGCTTCTCTTCGGTTCCAGATCAACTTTATCAAGCCTCCTGTGCCGCTAGTAAGTAAACGCGCTTACAAGCAAGCTAATTATAATCAAATTAATTCCTACTTGAGCTCTGTTGATTGGTACGAGGTCATTTCTTACGGTGGGCACTTCTTCATCCTCGCGCTCGATGGCGGGGTCCGCTTTTTTGAAAAACCACGCCACTTTTTCCGATGAATGCTGAATGCCGAGTGTTTTCAAGTCGGTATGCAGCGTGTCGAGCCAGCGCTGTTTGGGACGCCCTTTTGGCCGCTTTCCTGGTACCTCGAATTCGAGAGCAGTTTTACGGACGGTGTCAGCCTTCGCGCGAAGTACGTGCCCGTACCATCGAAGGCGCGTTTCACGCAATTTCTCTGCTATGGGGGCTACACCATACTTCTTGCGCACGTTACAAATGCGGTCCGATCGCGTGACGCCCGCCGTCCAGCGCAACATCTTCATCTCCATCACACCAAGGCGAGCCTCAACTTCTTTGGTCGCGGGCCAGCACTCGGCACCATATAACGCGACAGGTCGGACGACAGTACGATAGATCTTTGACTTGAACCGCTCTGGCATTTTCTTGTCGCAAAGGATCCCAGACATGGATCGCCACTTAGACCACGCCGCACTCACTCGTGCGCTCACTTCCGAGTTCAGACTGCCGTCGGACGCAAGTGCTGATCCGAGATACTTGAATGTTTCCGTGCGCTTGAGCACCGTGTCATCGATCTTAATGGAGCCCGGCTCATTTGGGTCGGTTGTCAGGTACTCGGTTTTGTTGACGTTCAACCTGAGTCCAAACTTCGCCAGACGCTCGGCCCAAGCTTGCACCTGCTGTTCCAGTGCGCTCTTATCGCCAGACGCTCGGCCCAAGCTTGCACCTGCTGTTCCAGTGCGCTCTTATCTTCACAAGCAAGCATCACGTCATCAGCGTAAAGCAGGGTCCATGGCACTTCCTTCTGAAGATCTCGTGAGATGGCTGAGATGGCATCCATGACGGCAACG